GTAAAGTACTAGCTTTTATTTTTATGGGAAAATAGATTTTTATCGATAACTTTTTTTCCGATTCTCATTTCGTTTTGGTTTCATATACTATTTTTCCTATAGTTTTTTTGTTGGATAGAAAGCACTGCTAATCGTCTTCTCTAGTGATTATCAATTTTATTAACTACATATAAGACCATCGAAACTAAAACTGATAAGGTCAAAATGATCTTTACAGTAAATTTGTACGACAGTCTTCAGCGGAAATAAAATAGTTTCCTATTAGAAAATAATGAGCAAATAAATTAAGAAGAGAGCGATATCAGTCAAAAGAGTGTTAGCACAGCTTTTTAATTTGGCCAGTTACTTAAGGATACCGAAAAATAGTTAAGTTAATCAAGTGAGTTCGATAGAAAAACAAGTTATATATCGACTCGAACAATTTTTTTACATAGATATTTTTAATATTTATCTATGTTTTACGTTTTGATTTCCAATAAGGCTCAAACTGCTCCAAATAATGTATCTGTTCGAGACAATTAGAACTTTTCTTTGTTGATTAAGAAGCAATTTGCAGACAAATGTTTTTGATAGTTCATATTCTAGATTAAAACTATCACTTCAATTGATCTATTCTTTTAAAACTTTTCTTTTTTATCAAGAATTTGTAGATTTTCTACATTCAAAGAACATAATCAACAATGCAAACGGTAATTGATAGAAAATTTGTTCTAAAAACTATCTTTTATTAAATGTGATTATTTTACTATAGATGAATGAGAGTTCTATTGATAATGGTGGTGTCAGAGTTAGGCATTCAGCTACTGAACAAGATATTCAGATTGATAATGTGCAGCATGAGAACTCAACACAAAATCAGTCTAATGCAGTAGAATCTGCCAATATTACTAAGAAAATAATGAAGTTGCCAATGACTCCATCATCTTTGTATGCCATTTTCTTTTAATTTCAAGCCTCATAATATATATAGAATGTATTTTCATTAGGGAACATTCATGTTGGTCAAGACATCGAACTGCAACAGCTGTGAGTACATTTGCTTTCTTCACAATTCTAACAATGGTCACAAGTATATTAATTGTTTGTCTGACTTCTCCAAAATCGAAAGGTACGTTTTGCTTTTTCTTCATATACCAATTAAACATATAATATAAATTTATTTTTATTTATTTATGCTTAGTAATAGTATGATAAAATAATAGATAGAACTAGTGTATTTCTTTGAGGAATAAGAGTTCACAGCAATCGATAGACATCTTGTTATATTCTGTATGTTGTTTTTCATTATCGTCACACAATAAAATTAATATTCATTTTATTCTATCCTTTGGGGTACTAATATCATTTCTTCGTACATCAAAACAACGGACTTTTTTAATAATTTTACAATGAATGGAAGGAAGTGAATAAGTATACATGCCATCTACTTAATACTTGAGTGCTCAAAAACTATATGAGATTTTATAAATTCAATAAGAATAATTACATCATAACAACTTA